GTCACGTGAAATTCTAGGATCAAATTTTCTAGCCTTTAATTTCCCTTCATAATCTAGAAGCATTTGATGTGGATTAAAATATGAAATGAATTTACATGTTTCAATGTGACGACGCAAATGTGAAGTGCCATAATTAGAGTCACCAGGTTTAGGGCCAACCGATACTCCGTTTTACAACCATTACAAGTTGCCCTTTTACTCCATCTTGCGTTTTGCCTATTTAGTGAAATAATTCCAAACATTTGAAGTTTATTTTTTTACCCTCTTGCTCAGTTGTTTAGACTCGGATACATGGGATTGGGAGGGAATTTCATCTTTATTCAAAATGTTCACATCATCATCCAAATTTGTATAATTTTCAATTGATTGATCCATTATCGTCACTTCAATAATATAAACATAATTAAAAATTAAAAATTTACACCAACAAAACAAACAGCAATATTTATTGATTATTGCACAAAACTTGAGTTCTACATCAAGCATGATTTCACGCAGCAATAATAACAAAGTTCAAAACTCTTGCACAAAACATCTTAATTCAATGAAATAACTGTTACAAATGTTGATATATTCTTTACCATAAAACTTCCATATATCCAGCAAGTCAGCAACACACCACAAAAGTTGAAACAACTAAGAAAGAAAAGAAAAGCAGATCGGAGTTTTACTTGGGCTGCCGGAGGAAGTAGATTAAAAGAGGTGGGTCGGGTAGGCAGTCGATGGGGAAGCTAGTCGATGGGGATTGGGGAGTGTTCTGAGGCCTGGAGTGGTGACCGACTGCTATCTACGGCAAACCATAATGGAGTGAAGGTGCAGGTATCGGGGTACGACGGTGCGATCTGCGGCAAAACAGAATGGAGAAGGTGGGTGGTGTGATCTGCGACAAATCAGAACGAAGAAGGTGCTGGTGCGACGTGAGATCTGCTGCAAAACAGAATGGAGAAGGTGCGGGTGCGATATGCGAGTATGGTGGTGCGATCTGCTGCAAACCAGAATGAAGAAGGTGGGGTGTGGTGGTACTATCTGCGGCAAACAGAACGGAAAAGGTGTGGGTGCGACGGTGAGATCTGTTGCAAAACAGAATAGAGAAGGTGCGGGTGCAATCTGCTGGTGCGGTGGTGTGATTTGCGGCAAAACAGACCGGAGAATGTGCTAGACTTGCGGGTGCGACGGATCGATCTATGATGTCGATGGGTGATGGCGACAATGGAGAGTGCTGCTATGCTGGAGTGCTGATTTGCTAATCGGGATGGTCGAATGCCGGATGGGGAGTGAGAAAGAACGTTAGTCCGACGGCGACTCACCGTGAAAGAACGAAGAAGGCTAGAAAGAACAGAAGGGATTAAGGGGAGTTGGGACTTGGGAGTTGGGGAGTTGGGTAGTCGGTTAGGACTTAGGAATTAGTTTAATTTTTTTTTCCCATCGGGCTGGCCCGCATCAACTCGGGTCAGCCCGATTTTAATATAGGCCTAAATTTTTTAGACCCGACCCATCCCATATTTTAAAAAAAATGGACTGGCCTGATGGGCCATGCCCATTTTAACAGGTCTAGCTGTAACGACTAGAAGAAATCTGGCGTTAGATATTGGTTTAGTCAGCATAACATACTAGTTAAGCGAGCAAAGTCTTATTTATACATCTAAAACTAATCTCATATTATATTTTTATTATAGTGAAATCTGTTATATTCTCTCCCATGTTATTATGCATTATATTTACTCCGATTTAATATCAATTTATCGTAAATGCATGCTTTCAATTCAAAAAATATAAATATTAAAAAAAATCTTTTTACAAATTTATACTTTTAATTATAAACTTAACTTTCGTTGAAGTAGGATCCGAGAGACACGACATGTTAATAGAGCATCAAAAATTCAAAATAGACACCTAGAATAAGAACATGATCAAAACTTTGTATTTTCAATTCAAACAAAATTTTATTTCTATTTAAAAATTAAGATAATTTCCTTACAAAATCATGGAATGCAAAATGCGTTATTAAATAATTAGTTAGAAGATAAAAAATTATTTTTGAAATGAATAGAATTTTTCTATTCTTAGAGTTGGAAGAAAACTCTCATTGTTTAAAATCTTATTATAAAATAGCATGCAAATGCGTGTAAAACTTTAATTACTATAAAAGCGCATGCAAATACTTGTAAATAGTAATTTGCTGTATAAAAATAGCATATTACTGTATACGTTATTTATTAAAAATATATATTTATATTGTTTAAGTATATCATAAGAAAAAAACTTTCATTGTAACTTTAGAACAATTTTAAAAAGACTTGTATGTACAAATTGACTACAATAAAATTGAACCATTTTGTCTAGGTAAACATTTTCAAGATTTTTTTCTTTTTGCTCCAATTGCTTTCTAGCAACCATTGCTATATATTCCTAATTAAAAAAACAAATTCATATATATATATATATATATATATATATATAAAGATGGGTCTATTTTTATTGGTGCAAAACTAAATTTTGTATTCTTTATATTTTATATACAATTTATTTTATTAATTCTATAATTTAATTTCATACTCTATCCGTATAAATCATGTATATAAAAATTAAAATCAATTGAAATATTCACAAAAGCAAGAAAAATAAATAAATAATGCTACTCCTAACTTACAACCAAAATTAACTGAAGATGAAATAATTAGATGTAACAAAAGGATTGAAGCCCGGATTTGGATCCCTATAGTTTTGGAAGTTAATTAGTCCTACTTTTCCAATTTCAATCATTTAATCCCTTTTGCTGTTATAAAATGTCAATTCAATAAAATCATCCACACCATGGAGAAAACACAGGTCAATTTGATGATGGCATGGTCTGCCAATTTATAAATTTTTTATTAAGTGGCACACATCAAAAGGCAACTCAAAAAATCCTATTTTTTAAAATAAAATAATAGAAATTGTAAATTGTCAGCAACCCTTTATTTAGTTTTTTAAAAAATCATTGTAAAAAATTTAAAAAATAAAGAAAGAAATAGAAATTTAGAACCAAAAAAAAACATGAAGAGAGAAATTAAGATGTGACAAATTTGACATGGGAGTGATTAAGAAAGAGAGGAGAAGAGAGAAATTTCGAAAGCAAGGAAGCAGAGTCAATCTGGTGGACGCAAGGTTTGTTAGTATTAATCCACATTAAGCAAAGATAATCAACACGGATCTACTACTTACTCTAATTAGTAACATTGCGGCAATTAAAAATCTATACTCTTTTCCCACAGATGATGACGTTGACTCATCAGCTAAAATTTCAATGTGGTGAAATGATGACCTATTAAATTACAAAAGGAATAAAACCTATTAAAATAGAAAAACAACATTAATTAATCTATCCATATAATAATTATACACTTAAACATTTGACTTATAAATCATAACAAAAAAAAAAATCAAAACCTTCAAGATTGAGTCTTAAATTATAAGAACTAGATGTCTCTTAACTCTTGAGATGAAATGAAGTGATTACAATGTAGAGTGAATTGTCATTTTTAAATTTTAAATTAATTAACAATGTTTACTTATATGTTTCATAATAATATTAAAATTTCAATTGTTAAATACGTGTTTATAATATTATAAAAATGTTACATTCTGGATTGATGTTATATAAATATCAAATTAATTTAAATTTTATGAACATTATATATATATAGATAAGTTTAAGGATTACTATTTTAGTTTTGGATAAATTTAAGTGATATTATTGTGTTTCAATAAAAAAATTATAAAATATTTTAGAGCCTTAATCTATTTTTTAAAGTAAACTTCAAGAAAATAATAAATCCTAAAAATTAAAGGTGAAAAAAATAGACTTTATAAATTTTTATCCCAAAAGAAGTCATCATTTTACAAAAAAAAAAAAAACTTGTAAATATTTTTTGAATTAAAATAATTACAATAAAAACATATGTGAATAGAGTGAGGAGATACTGAATTTGGGCTCCAAACAAACCCAATAATTATTAAATGGGCCGAGAAAAAATGATTATGTATCAGGTTCGTTCGCTCCTTCTTTCTCCAACTCACCCGGCTAACCCTCATGGCTCATAGTCTTTGAAATGCAGACGCCGCTTTTCTGAGTGAAACGCCCACCGTCTGTCTGTCTTCTTCCCCGCTTTCATGTTCAGAGGACAAACACCCAGGTAAGCCTTACGTCTTTCCCTTTGTTTAACTGATATCTCTCTTGTCAAGGTGGTTTTAATTTACTTTTACTTATGGAGATTTTGTTAGTTGTGATCAAAATAAAGTTGTAGCTGTTCTAGGGCAGCTCTGCAAATCTTTTCTCATCCATTGTTTGATTTTCCAGAACCTTGAAAAGAGAAAAAAAATGAGTTTGATATCTCAGAATCCAGTGTCTAGAAACAGAGTGAAGGCTAAAAGGGATGATGAGCCTTCAATTCATGAAGATAACAATGATATTGATAATGGGTTGGAATCCGATTCGGAAGTCTCTAGGTTGATAAAGAGAAGGAAAGAAAAGGAAAAGCAGATTGAGATGGAGCAAAAGAAAGAAATCAAAAAGCTTGAGAACTTTCTTTTTGGGTCCATATATTCCCCTGTTGAATTTGGTAAAGCAGGTGAGGAAGATGCTCAAGATGTTGCTCAAGATGGTTCTACTTTGTTCTTTTTAGACCGATCGGTGAATAATTTAGAATTGCCTGGGGAAAGTGATGATGAAAAGAAGAACAAGGAAAGGAAAGCTGTTTGGGTGGATGAGGAGGAGGAAAAAACAACAATAAACATAGCTAAGGTTAATAGGTTGAGGAAGTTGAGGAAGGAAGAGGATGAGAGTCTGATTTCTGGTTCAGAGTATATTTCTAGATTGCGGGCTCAGCACACTAAGCTGAACCCAGGGACAGAATGGGCAGAGCTAGATTCGAGGATAAGGAGTGATACTATTTATGATGATGAATTATCGGATGAAGAAAAGGGTGTTGTAGCTGCTCATGGTTATAGAAATGTCGAAGCTGATGACAATATTCTGAGAACAAATGAAGATCTTGTGGTGAAGAGTAATGTTAAATTGTTGCCTGGGCTTCTTGAGTATTCGAGACTAGTGGATGCAAATGCTGAGGAACCTTCCAGTGGTCCAATAAATTCTGTCCAGTTCCATAGGAATGCTCAGTTACTACTTGCTGCTGGACTGGATAGGAGGGTCAGGTTTTTTCAGATTGATGGTAAACGGAATACCAAAATACAAAGCATCTTTCTTGAAGATTGTCCTGTTCGAAAGGCATCTTTCTTACCTGATGGTTCGCAGGTCATTATAGCAGGGAGGAGGAAGTTCTTCTACTGTTTTGATTTAGTGAAAGCAAAAATTGATAAAATAGGGCCATTGGTTGGTAGGGAGGAAAAAAGCTTGGAAGTTTTTGAGGTTTCCCCAGATTCTAGTACGATTGCTTTTTTGGGAAATGAAGGTTATATCTTGTTGGTTTCAACCAAAACAAAGGAACTGATTGGAACACTTAAAATGAATGGAACTGTCCGTTCTCTAGCTTTTGCTGATGATGGGAAGCAATTATTGAGCTCTGGTGGGGATGGACAGGTCTACCACTGGGACTTGAGAACAAGAACTTGCTTCCATAAGGCTGTTGATGAAGGCTGCATCAATGGTACAGCTCTTTGCACTTCACCAAACGGAAGAATGTTTGCAGCTGGTTCAGACAGTGGGATAGTGAACATTTACAACAGGGACGAATTCTTGGGAGGTAAAAGAAAACCAATCAAGACTATTGAGAATCTAACCACCAAAGTGGATTTTATGAAGTTTAATAGCGATGCTCAAATACTGGCTATCTGTTCTACCATGAAGAAAAACAGTTTGAAGCTGATACATGTCCCATCGTTTACTGTATACTCTAATTGGCCTCCACTGAATGTGAACTTACATTATCCCCGCTGCTTGGATTTCAGTCCTGGTGGTGGTTTCGTGACTGTTGGAAATGCTGCTGGCAAAGTGCTATTGTACAAGTTGCATCATTACAGTCATGCATAGAATAGATGTCTACCTCTGTGCTTGTTTGAAGCATCATTTATTTGTGTGTGGGAGGGGATGTACTTCAGCTGCAATCTAGTTTCACCGCTTGTCTGTCTCATGCTGGTGAAGGCACCACAACCATCAGCAGATGAACAGTGCCTTAAAAAAAATTTTCTTTCGTTTGCATTTGGCCTTTAATTATAAACCATGCTCATAGAGCCATAATTTTGAATTCAATAGCTTCAACCTAGTTCTTATAGAGTATGATTTCATTGGCCATTACAGGTTTTTCGGCTCTATGCTGTAACTTTAATTAATGATAGATTCTTTACACTTATCCCGCATTATGAAAGATTTGGAAACTTCATTGCTTTCTGCCCCCATAATTTTGTTGGAATTATATAACTCTGCTTGATTAAGATTGGCAGGATGTTCCCAATTTCCAGTTAATATTCTAATCAACATAAATTATTTTAGTAAGTCAGCTGGAAAGAGTTCAGCGTTGTTTGCGGATATTGTTCATGTTCTTCAGTATTTTCCGTTAGAAAACTATCAAGTAATAATAACTCAAAAGAAAGCAATGACCCAGAAGCCTGCATTTTTTAGATGAACAAAAGAAAGTCTCTACACTTTAAAAGTGCCCAAAAAAACAATTTCCAGGCTGCAGTGATCTCATGGTGATTCCTCTTTTCATATTATAAAGAGTAAAATTCATTAGAATTCAACAACTTCTTATAAATGTCTCATTTTTCTCATAAGCACCAGGTGTATTATGTTACATGAACATGAAGCACTGCATTGACATTAATTGATCATTTGGTATGAAAATTATTGGCATTCAACTCTTCTTTTCGTTTTTTTCCAGGTATACGGGATTCAAGACAACAATTCTTCTTAACAGAGAGATTCTAGTCAGGCAGATCAATGACTACAGAAAAGAAAGGCTGAACTGAGATGAATTTGGGTTACTAGCGAAAAAAACTCTCATGAACATCGTACTGGGATTCCTGATCATCCTAGACATGAAGACTTCTTCTATTCTAATCCACAAGAATGTCTGCCACCATTTTCCTGATCAGCAACCAGCAATAAGTGCTTCATACTTATAACCACGGGCCAGCAATAAAACCTTTTACCATGTGAATATTGCTACCACGTTTTGAATATCAAATTTCCATAAAACGTATCAATTCTTCAAATTATATTTGAATATAACCATAAATAAGTCGATTTATATATATATATATATTATGTATATCATAGAAAATTGACATAACATTTTAAAAAAGTCTTAAACTATTTTTTTAAAAAAATCTAGTAAGTCATTAATTTTTAATTAAGTTTATTCTATCTCTTATATTATAACTAATTAACAATAATTAGTCAAAATGACATTATAAGGTGGGAGCTGAGATATTTATACAACAACATTATAATACTACATCGTCATTTATTATAAAAAGTCAATATATTACATGTGATAGTAATAATGATTAATAAGTATACACTATTAATTATAAAATTTTATTTAATTTAAAATAAAAATTTAAAAACTTAATTAAAAGTAATAAAAAAATAAAAATTTATGTACATATTTTTTAAAAAAGGATATCACGAAAGACTTTTTTTTCATAAGTTTAAATTCTAAAGAAAATACGGCTAACAACGAGAGGGAAATGCTTAAGCACCCGACTCCAGGAGGTGACTTCTTCGAGAAGTATTAACAAAAAAAAAAAGCAAGCTTAGAAAAGGCAAAATGAAAATTGAATTTATTCTTCATGAGGAAGATTGAGATCAAAATCCAACATTTTCGCAGTACCAGATTGTTTAGCTTCGGGGGAGAGGCTGTCTTTGTGATCAAATCCACATTCTCCTGCTGATTCTCCTCTAAAACCAACCTCCTTGGCTTTTTCCTGCGATGTAATGCTGCTGAGGGGATTGTCTGCAGTTTCCATTTGAAGGCAGATCTTACGGTTGCTAAGGGTCTGACAAGTCTTACCGTGGCGTGCAATTTTTTCACTTTTGCCCACGTTTGAGCCAGAAGAACTAGCTTCCCTTTGCTTCTTGTTAACAACTGTGGCATCAGAGAAGGCCAATTCTCCTAGGTGATCAGAGTCGTTAATCTTCCCATGGCTGACTCTTTGTATACCCAATGCTTGAAAAGTTGAGAAAGAATTGGCTAGTACATCCTCGTTATACTACTGCCGTCATCAACTTTGCGGATGTTAAGTTCTTCTTCAATGATCTCTCCTTCTTCTGGCAAATCCTTTTCCAAGATATCTTCTTTTTCTAGTACTATCGAAGCAGCCTTTTCAGTCTTCAACTCCTGCCTTGGAAGCCTGGATTGGTTCCCATCTTCTGAATTTCGAAGCTTCCTTTTTTTCTCAGGAACTCGGTCAATAGCAAGCTTGTCTTTAATACTAGCCTTCCGGCCTCTCTTTCCAGTCACTGACCAATTGCTTATGCTATTCAGCAAATTTTTGCTGGCTCCTGTTGCTGTAGTCGAGTGTCAGGATCAGGTGTAGTCTCGTCAGAATTCGGAGCGCGAATACCCTTCCAATGCCTCTCAGGATGGTTCCTCATATGTCCACACAAAGACATGATGGATGGAAACCTCTCCTTGCAAATAAAACAAGTATTGTCGCCCTTCTCTTTCTTATCAGTCAAGGTGGACAAAACTTTAGCTACTGACTTATCAGCTTTAGGCTTGCCGTGCATCCGAATATGACCACCCAAGGCTTTGCCAGAGCTGAATTTTTTGAAGCAATATGGACAGCTTCGAACTTGGCCTTCAGCTCCATTTGAACCAGTCTTCTTGCGCCATCTGAACTTTCTTCGATTTGGTCTTTGTCTTTCCATCAAAGAATCTGAAGAAGAAGCACCGTGATCATTATCATTGTCACGCACTGTCCTCTGACGCTCATTCTCGTTCTCACTAGATGTTTATCGCTAAACTCGTCTTCCGCACGATTGATCTCCATGGAACAAAAAAAAAAAAAAAAAACAGAAGCAAAGAAAGCTAAGAAAGAGGATGAAGATGGCAAGGGATCGAGGCACAGAGCAAGAGCAACAAAGGCGGACACGTGAAGTTAGGGTTAAAAGTTGTTCTTTGAATTTTTGTAGATTATATTATTTCTATGGGAAATTAAAACTAGTAGTGTTAATAGAAGTAGAATCCCGGTTTGAGTTGTATATTAGTATTTTGAAGAAAAAATTATTAGAAATAACTCTCTTGATAAGTTTAATATAATTTTAATTATTTTAAATTAATTTTTGATATGATTTGATAATAATACCCTTTAAATAATTTTAAATAAATTAAAATAATTTTGATTTTCTCAAGCCCACTATCTAGACAAAAATTTTAAAATTAAATCTTATCTCTCTCTTGTCAAATACTATCTTCTAACCATCTAGCTCTCTCGCCATCTCAAATTGTAGAGATAATATTAAGATATATGTTTTAAGTTGTTGGGTTTATTGGTTTATATTTATAGAATCTCAAAGTTGAATAGTTAAAATTAATTAGATATATTTGTAACTTAGAACATTGTATAACTTTGACAACTTAAATTTGACTGCGAGTAGGTAAATCAATTAGTTATTAAGCATTACATTATTAGCTTCCAAATATTGTATAACTGGTTTGTAGGTATTGCGAAATTTATTTTTAGGCATTATGTAACTTAATCATTGTCTTTGATTTTTGGCATTGCGTGATTAATTTTAGGCAATGTTAAATTACATAATATCTAAAAACTAGTCACGTAATACTTTATTAACTAATCACATAATGATTAAAAATCAGTCATGCAATGCTTAAGTCATGTAATGCCTATCAACCAGTCACGTAATATTTAAAAATTAGTTACGAAATACCTTATCAATCAGTCACACAATGCTTAAAAATTAGTAACGTAATACTTAAAAACTAGTTACGTAATGCCTAAAAAGCAGTTACACAATGCCTAAACCTTCAAAACTACCAAATTCCATTTAACAAAATCAATAACTTTAAATAACACATCATATTCCATTTAATAACATAACTAACGAGTATGCCTACTTGGTAAAAAATGCTTAAAGGTTTTTCTTTATATATCAAAAACTATTTCAAAATGTTTAAAATGCTTAAAACGCTTAAAAGTTTTTCTTCATGTATCAAAAATCATTCTAAAATACTCAAAATATTTAAAGGTTTTTCTTTCTTACGAAGAATATTCTAGAGATAAATGGTCTGACGAGAAAAATTCAAAGGATATGAGTTGGTTTGATGCACGGACCTAAACATATGGGTTGATTTCATTAAAAGTAATTTTATCTAAAATTAATTTCTCTTGAATAAAAATAGTTAAAATTATAAAGATGGTTATTTTCGAAAATACCTTATATATGATGAGTATTTTTGAAAACAACCCTATTTCTAAATAGGATTTGGACATTTGGTTGAAAAAATAGCATGAAAAATTAAAAATTTTGTGTTCAGGAAACACCAAGCTTACTTACTTATTGGACATATTAATAAAAAGGGAAAGCTTTATGCAGTGATGAATTTATAATTTTACTATTTAAAAGGTAATCATATAAAGTTATAAATTAGATCAATGATTTAATTTAAAGGATCTATAATTTTACACGAGGAGTGTTTAAAGGATAATTATATAAAATTATAAATTAATCAATGATTCGATTTAAAGCACAAAATTGATCACGTTTGAATAAAATAAGACATAATATAAAATTTCATAAATTTTCAGATTTAACAATATAAATAGACATAAAGCATATATATATATATATATATATATATATATATATATTCACACACACACACATTGGCTATCGTAAGCTATACTTTGAGATTATATTATGTCTTTTTTTTATCAAGTCATTTTCATTTATAAGAGAATAAAAATATACCATTAAATTAATAAAATACATAATAATAACTGAACTACAATATCTTTTATAAATTCAAATATTACTAATATAAATCAAAGCTACAAACTAAAATTGAATTGAAATTTAGGAATTAAAAGAATATTATCTATAGATTATGATAGGTTAATACTAAATGTTAAAGATTTCAAATTTATGTGAATTAAAAGATTTACTATAATTTTTTTAAATAAAATACATCTAATTTAAATAAGCATAATTCAAGAATAACATATTAGCAATAAGAAGTACAACGTTTATTCTTAGTTTTATTTGTTCAAACACAATTGAGAAGGCAACGAACACACTGTAAGACATCAAGACAATGCGGCAACCTGTTCCACCAATTGTTTTACTTTGGTGATGTAATTATTCATTGCTTCCTCTTTAGAATTCCTTTCAACCGCCTTCCATGCATCCCATTTGTAACCTTCCCTCATGTTGAACATTTGAGGACGGTTGATATTCACTGGTCCAACAATGACTTGATTTAACAATTCATACAAGATGAGCTTGTTTTCATTTGTTGTGATCTTTGGTAAAAGATTTAGCTTTCTCAACGTGCTCCTCCAATTCTTCTTTCAAATCCATTTTTCTCTTATAATATATGGATTGTAGAGATTGAAAAGACCACTTTTTTGTTTGGTTTAATATAGTCATTTGGTTTGAAAAGAAAAAAATAGTTTGATGAATAGAAGAAAAGTTGAAAATTGTGTGCAAAAAAAATTTTAAAAAAAACTAAAGGGTTTAAAAAAAATTCAAATTGCATGCTAAGGAAAAAAAAAAGATATTATAAAAAGAAAAACCTAGAGAGTTTCTATATAATGCACAAGAAAAAAAAGTTATGCATTGCACAGAAAAAAAAAAGAAAAAATAGTAAAATTGAGTTTAAGCAGAATCAAAAAGCCAAATGAATTACCACTAGTATAAAATAATTTCTTTATTATTTTTAAGGGTAACAAAATTATCTATTCTCAATTTTGAACATATAAAAATAAAACAAATTAGAAACGCTAAAATTAAATACAATGATTTACCATCTCAAAAGTTTAAAAAAATTAACAATAAAAATAAAATAGGTAAAACACTATGTGAGTACAACATAGAAAATCTAAATTGCATCTAAATGCAATAATCACCTTCCATAATTTTCTCTTGCAATACAAAAATATTACACCTAAAAGGAGACACTAATTTCAAGAACAAAAAAGTAACATTGGAGTAATATTTTACAAAGGCCTTCTAATTGAATTATGTATATATATAATTTTGATGTATAAGTAGATTATTAATTTATATATTAAGTGAAACCTATGTGTTTTTTTAAAAATATATTATCTTATAAATTTAACGAATTATTAATTTAAGTCTTGGTCTCAAGTCAAGGCTGACCAAAATCACTAATTTACTAAGGTTTTACTATAACTGATTTAATTATAAATTAATAAAATAATGCAAATCTCAGTTAATTAATTAAATAACTAATTTAATTACTAATTAATTAATTTAATTATAAACTAATCAAAAATACAAATATCATTTAGTTAATTAACTAATTGAATTACTACCTTAAATTAACTTAATTAACTAATTTTCTAACTAATTAGTTAATCAAGATAACTAATTAACTATTTAAATTAATTAATTAAATTATAAAATAAAAATGTAAATCTCATTTAATTGATTAACTATTTTAATTTCTACTTTAAATTAACTTAATTAACCAATTAACTACTTAATTGGTTAATGAAAATAGCCAATTAACCAATTTAATTATAAACTAATTTAATTTTTTTGAAAATATAAACTAATTTAGATTAATAAATTTAATTTACTATTTTAATTTTATAAAGCATGTAAGTGTATCAAACTTGTATTTTCATACATAAGCCATAATTTTAAAAATTAACATCACATTTTTGTAAATTAAATGTTACAATATTATCTTTATAATATTTTAATCAAACACTTTCACTTGTTTTTATAAGAAAAAACCAATATCCTTTAGGCCTCCAAATAAATAAAAAAGAAGTTGAGAAAATTTAATTGAATGGCATTTGTCATCCAGACCCTCAACTGCAACGATATCATGATAATTTCTTTAACTAGAGTGTAATCTGTATTATGTGTTAAAGACACAATCATTTGATATATGAATCAAATATCAACTTAATCGACATTAATAATAAAAATAATTGTCTAAAAACAAATGGTGAATAAATGTATCATTTATAAGCATGAAATTACATTGTAATTTGTAAAGATAAATATCCAAAAGTCAATAGATATTTTGATGGCTATTTGTCGGGTTAACTTGGAGGCTACTACCGTATTGAAAACACATATCAAAATTCACAAGTGGCGCTATTTTTTCTATTAAAAACAAAAAAAGTTAAAATATTAAATATATGTAAATTAATTACATTCAAAAAAGTTTAAAGTGAAAACAAAATAACAAATATAGTAAAAAAATTATAAATTTAGATCGAAAGATAAATAAGTTGAAAAAATGAAAAGAAACAGAAGAAGAAAAACAAAGAAAATGAGGAAGAAATAGAGGAAGAGAAAAACTAAAGTGGAAAAACTAAAGAAGAAAGGGATAAACAATTCTACAAAGAGAAACCCAAAAAAAATCTTGTAAAATTAAAACAATACTAATCAATTGTATCCCTAAAAACTAATCTAAAAACTACATCGATTTAAAAAACAAAAAAAAATGCATAAAAAAAATCCAAGGGTAGCAATTTTGTTTAAAAAATTATAAATATAATCAGTAAAAAATTATATTAATGAAAATAATAATTTTTTTGAAAAAGAGAAAAACTAAACAAATTTCAAAGCTTAATAAATCTGTAACTTGATAATATTTTATTAATATGATTTTAATAATATATAATTATAAAGTGAATAGTTGACTAATAGTGTATTTTGTAATCTATGACATTTTTGAATATTCAAAAATAATTACAAAAAAAAATCGAATGAGTTGAAAGATAAACATATCATAAAATAATAATAACAAACATGTAAATTAAGGAATATATTTCTAGTAAAAGACACATTTTTACTTAAAAGATAATTAAAAAAAAATACCCGTCTATTATGTTTCAACTTTTTCTTTTTTTTTTTCTTTCCAACAAATCATACCCCCTGTAATCTCCTATTTAAGATGCCTTGAAAATTAGCATAAACAAATACATTCAAAGTTAATAATGATCATTAAACAAAATAAAACAAATAACATACAATCATCAATGAGAAACATATAAAAAAAATCACAATGAGGAATAAAAGTAAAAATCAATTACATGCACCCTAAAATTCTTAAATCCAAAAACATTAAAAGAACAAATATAAACAAAAAAGAAGAATGAAAGAAGGAAATTCAATAACCAATTTCTATAACTTAAAGAAAAACTCAACAAAAATACCATAAACAAAGAAAATCTATATTATTAAACAATATGTCGAAGCAATAAGTTTTTTTAATTAATAAATTAATATAAAAAATATATTTTATTTAAAAATATATTTTTTAACAATATATAAAAATAAATGTAAATAGACAAAATCATCATCAACACCTTCCAAAATATCCAAAGCCTCATTAGTAAAAAAACTCAAACAAACTCTCTCAACAAATAAAAAAATACCATACATGTCCTCTGGACAATTCAACCTCGGATTAAGCTACCATGTGTCAAACAATTAGACTATACAATTAGTAACTAATTAGTTTAGGGACAACTGTTAATATATGTAGATATAAATAGTAATAGATTTATTATTTATCGACAAAATTAGAGTTCATATTGTTGATTAAAAAAAAGTATAGAGTATAAATTGTAATAATTGATTTGTGAATTTAATTATTCTAGCACTTTAATACATGTAATATTTAATTGCTTAATTTGTTCACATATTCAAATGAAACCAAAATTTATGACATTTGTTACTAGATTAAAATTTATATTATTATAGCACAAAAAAAGAAGAAGAAAATTCCTCATAGAAACTCTAAATTTTTCCATTAACTTTCTCCCCAACAAAATTAAAATTATTAAACAACTTTAGAAACTATAAAATAATAAAATAAAATAAAAAAACTATTATAATATATGCATGAATGTCCATTGCAATCTCTAATCTTTTAGATCTTTTCATATCCAATGTACATATTTAACAAGTAGATCCCCATCTTCTAAATTCATTCTGTGAATGAACACTTCTATTTACTAAATTTATCCTATCTTCTCCATGTTTTCATTCCCTCCACCTGTCAATGTAAGTCTGTAGATATATTGCAATACTTTCTTAATTTCTGCATAGCTATATTTCACAGCAATAACAATGACATCAACGGAAAAAAAATAAACGTGAGTTGCCCTCGCTTTAACTATTTAACTAGGGTTTCGCTTTCACTTAACTAACAACTCCTTTTTGCTTCCCTTCTCTCTCTCTCTCTCTCTTTCTTTCGAGTCAAGCTTGAATTCACCTGATTTTTATTTTCTTCTAATTTGCAGGTAATATACTTTCTTCTTGACTAATCTACACTTAACTCTTCCCAATACTTTACGAATCCAAAAACTATAAGATTTTCTTTCTTCTATTTTTTCCTTTTGGTTGGTTCCTAGAAAATGCTTAATCCGCTGTTTTGTTATGCTTTTGGTTGATTAAGCTGCAACTGCTGCTTCTTTTAGGTAAAGAATTAAAATTTCTTTTCCCAGATATAACATTTTGAACATTTAAGAATGAAGGATGGAATTTTGAATCATGATTTAGTTCTATTTGCTTCAATTTGTATGTGGAGGTTATTTGTTTATTTGCTTTTTAAACTCTTGTCGATAATTTTAGATTTGTGATTTGGTCTAGGGTATTTTAGGCATTGTCGTTTCGAAGTCTTTTGATGCTTTTGTTATGGATGTTAGTTCTGAATATGTATGCTCTTGTTTTGGGAACAAGGCTTGGTCGTTTTTACTGTTCTTTTGTTTGTTAATGTTTTTATTGATAGTGCAGAGGTTTGTAAGAAAAAGATTAGCTTTTGGCTAACATTTTACTGGAGGTAGGCAAGACGGTAAAAGGTTATGCCCAGTATGGAAAATGGAAGTTCTAATGTCCCACGGGCTGAAGAAATCAAACTCCAAGCTAATGAAGCATTTAAAGGTGCAAACTTGATGAGCATGTAAATCTCAATATTGTGGCTTTTTACTTGTTCATTGACCTAGCTCTGAGTGTTTGATTCTGTGTACAGCATTATGTAGGTTGTTTAATGTATGTATAATGCTGTTTCCCATTTCTTGTGTTTAGTTTTGCTAAACTTGTTGATTTGCTTTCTTTTTTCCAGCCCACAAATATGGTCAGGCTATTGACTTGTACACGCAAGCAATAGAGCTAAATGGTCAGAATGCAGTCTACTGGGCGAATCGTGCATTTGCTCATACCAAATTGGAAGAGTATGGTAGTGCCATACAGGATGCTACTAAGGCAATTGAAGTGGATCCTAAATATTCAAAGGCATGGTCTATTGACTGAAATTATTCTTTCTCTTATTTAATATCTATTTGTGTTCTTGTTCTGATGGTTCTCTAATTTTCAGGGTTACTACAGACGAGGCGCTGCTTATCTTGCCATGGGGAAGTTTAAGGAAGCACTAAAGGATTTTCAGCAGGTATTTTGTCTGCCAGGGCTGTAATATTGCGAAATATGTGTTTAGTGTCTCTGTCAAACTTCTTGCAAACAGAGGTTGCCATTATCTGAAATATATTTCTCAAGCAAATGTTTCTATTTACATGCTCATGTATACATTTATGAGCGAAGAGAATTTTTTCCCCCTTTCAGTAAATGTTCTTCATTTTATTAGAAATTTTTTTTTGCCAGATCATTTTAATATAAATTATCATAGTGTTTTTGACTTTCTGCGGAGCATTATGGAATGCTTGCTCCATTTATGACAGAGCTTAACTAGTTGTGCCTTCCTCTAGTGTTAGATATCATATGAGGTATTGAGATGTGCTTGCATGCAAGATTTGAGATAACTTTATTGGTGTGAATATGATATTCTCCATTTTATGAGCTGCATATATCTGCACAAATGCATGCATTTTCCTTTGAGTGAGAAAAAGTTTATGGTTTTATTGTTGTTTTGCTTGAGATCGTTGTGAAATGCCATGTTCCTTTTATCGTACTGGTAACAGAGGAGTTCATTTTTCATACTTCATGCTGTCTAAAATTGGTCTAGTGAAGTTTATACCTGGAGGAGTCACATCTGGCATATTTTCTGAGCTAATTTAAAATTCACTAGTGTAATTTATCAGGACCTAGAGGAGGGTTCTTGCAAGTGAAAATGCCTAGTTTCTAAGTTCAACTTAGTAGTAACTTTCTTTGTTGCACGTGCCTTTTTTGCATTTACTGTCAATGCCTTTTTTCTTCACAAGGAAATTTGTATAATTGCTATACATTAACATGTGACACCGGTGGTTGTGATGTCTGAAAAATGTTTTCCTCCCTTTGGACTTAGGTCAAAAAGATTTGTCCTAGTGATCCCGATGCTGCTAAGAAATTAAAGGAATGTGAGAAAGCAGTAATGAAATTAAAATTTGAAGAAGCAATTGCTGTACCTGAGTCTGAGAGGCATTCTGTAGCTGACTCCATTGACTACCATTCCATAGGTACTTTCTTTTTCCCATTATTTCTACCATATATACTCTAATTTATGAATTCTAAGATGTCTTCAAAAATCAGTTTCCACATTTATATGAAATTCATTAGGATGGCTGTTTCTTGTTAGCATCAATGGGCGGTAGAAAATGTTAAAATTGAGGATTAGCAAATGTTTGTAGCATGTTGTTAAGAGTCATGCACAAGCTATTGAGTATGATTCACATTTGTTGTGAGAAACTATGACCCTTGTTTGGTTGACAGGAACACCTAAATCTCGTTAGGAATATTTTTTGAATCTATGTGTTTCATCTGTTGGTATAATTTGTGACCTAATATGTAGTGAAGCTTTTTTTTTTTCTTGTTCACCTGGCGTGGGTTTTTTTTGCAAAGTTCCCGTGCCTTCTGATGTTATGATTTTATGTTTTTATCCTCTTCTTGCAACTTCATATTTCTTATCAAGAATCTCTAAGTGTTCTTTATGAATAAAAACAACCAGTTGTTTAACAGTTGATTATTTAGCATGCCCTTCAGTTTTGTTCAATGTATAGTTTGGTAGCTTGTAACCAAATATTATTATGCCTTACAATCTGGATGTCATCATCTTGATTAATTGATTGGGTTATATATGTGCCTGTTATATGTTTAATGTAGTGGGGAAATGAAATATCAAAAAGTAATTGTACTGCAAAAGTTGCTAATTTGTGTAACTTTCATTGGTAACTCTAATATTATGTGGCTATGGATAGGTGAAATCGTTTCTAAAAATTTGATAATGTCTGGGCCTATCAAGGCTGGATTTTCCTCGTAGAATTGTGTTCTTCTTGTAATTTTGATAAAAAAGGCCTTGAGCTGAATCTTATTGAAATTTATGACCATTATACACAATAAGTTTTACAGTTGTCCTTATTTACAATTTTAGGTTGTACTTGTGTGATCTATATTTTGGTAAGGTACAGGGTAAGGGCATTGCTTGTAGGAAAGTTATCGTTTGATGATATTTCATTTTTCTAAGTTCATGATAATTAGCTTTGTCTCTAATAAGAAATGACATTTTTTGTGGGTGGAGTAACAAGCTCATCTGCTTGTTATTGGTGATCCTAATGTCAAGGATTCCTGATATTCTCAACTCATAAATTTCTGACAGACTGTAGACTACTTGAGTCTTAACATTTGTGTTCCTCCCCTGGGTTTGGGAATTTGTCCTTTCAGTGATTAGTTAATCTGTTGTACATATAGGTTTCTGATGAAGTCTTATGTTAATTTTACTGTAGTGATTTAACATTCTAGTGGGCTGTTTTTGCTTCACTAGTGACTGGCTCTGGAAGACAGGTATATTTATCAAAAGAGAATTTTATATGTTTAGAAACGCAATGGTCATCACATTGATTGGCAACCAGTTAAGGTTATCATGATAATATATTGAATGAGTAATTTGAATCTATTTTATGAATAAAATATAGGGGTGAAATCAATGTGGTATTGGATTCAATTGTATCCATCAATGATAAACTCTTAAAATAATATTTATAATATTTTGACAAAAAGAGCTAAATGGACACAATGGCTAAAACTTAGCACTTCTATTTTTGTAAGGAGGGTTTTTACTCTCTTTTTATTGCACCATAACTTTTTCTTAGGGTAAGCTGATATGGGTGGACGTAATTCTGTTCTCTGTCTTACTAATTATGTTAGCTGGACCTTCCAATCATTTCTGTAATAACTCTGGCTTCAGACTTTTGCAAGTTTTTAAGATTAGAAGCAGGGTTTGAGATGCTTTCCCATGAACTCGAGCTGTTTTAATTCTAAGATTAAATTTACAATGGATACTTATTATCAAGTAGCATAAAATTTATGGTTAATCAACATTTATATTATTTTAACATATTGTATCATAATAGGGATGAGTCACAGCTCACCGTCAATGCCCACCCAAGTGGCCTTAGCGGCAGTTGCAGTAGCATTTGTGGCGGCACTAGTGATGATTGTGGGGGCAGCAGCCACAAAGGTGGCAGCAGTGGTGGTGGTGGTCTTTCTAGGGACATGGTGGTGGGGTGGATCCACTGGTAGTGGTGTCTTTACTGAGAGATAAATGCTTGACTTAGGTTTGACTGTTTGAGCTCAAAAGTAAAATGTTGAACTACTGCCACATTTCAATCTCACATTTTCCAATAACAGTCAGGAAATCTTTTCTTCTGGAAAAGTAGTTAATTATACTTTAATTGGTGAATTAACTAGAAAACTGATGCATTTTTCACTTGGTAATCTAGCAGGATTTCTCCTTTTCTCTCTCTCTCTCTCTCTCCCTTTTTTCATTAAAAAAATTTCTTCTTTTTCATTTTACCTGTCTTGTAAAAAATGTGTTCAGAAATGCTGCCAACCATCCTGTATTTTCATGAGACAGAAGAGGGACACGTTAAAAACATTGCATGACAACTTATTAACTACTTGATGCAATTATATGAATTTGGGGAAAATTGGGAGCACCGTTCTTCCTATGAGAGGGTCCTTAATGCTAATGTACTGGGTGGCTGGGAGTGGGTATTTGCTTTTATTGCATCTATGATAGTTATTTGCAGAATAAAATTTCTGCTGGTTTAATTTTGTATACACGTTAGCGTTTAGCGGGCAAGAAGTTATTACCTTTGATTTGCTTGAAGACCAAGTTAAATACTAGGCTTAGATGTTTCTGTAGTTTAGCTCCTTCTCCTCCTTTGTTCCTTTGTTTTTTTCTCTGAGACAATGGTTGGACAATGTAGTGGTAGGTTGTATTTTGCCTTCTGTGAAAAACTCTAAGCCCATGATGAAGGTGGGATTTGATCCCAAGATTTTGTCGTGGCTAGCAAAGGACTTTCTCTGCTTCTTCTATTTTATATTTGTTCCTGACTATTCATTGCATGGGTTTATGATGTAATAGGTAATGATTTTTGATCTTGGAAGACTTTGTGGAATTGAATATTGCATTTGAACAATTTAAAACCTTTAGAAAGAAGGACAAGTGTAGTTGTCAAAAGATTAATTTTTAGTACTTGAGGATATATAACTAGGAGCAGTACATGTGTGTGTGTGTGTGTGAGAGAGAGAGAGAGAGAGAGAGAGAGAGAGAGGGAGAGGGAGAGGGAGAGAGAGAGCACTTGCTTGTTCTGTTTTCTCTTTACAGACTGTGCATTTCATGGGTTTATCTTGGAAGAATTTGTGGAATTGAATGTAGCAATTCATTCTGGCATTAGAAGAAGGCTAGTGCTTGATTTTCACTCACTCTCTAATATGAAAGCTGCATATAAACATTTAACTTACACTGATTTGCATAAATGCTGATAAGCATTCTGGAAAATGTTGAAAGTAATTTGTTAATTTGTTTTGGAGCCACTGGATGTATTAGCTGTTTTATTGAATTCTTGAAAGTATGTTAACAATAATTTTGTCCCCTGCACATTAATGAAATTGCTATTTTGTTTCCCTTATAGAGGTGGAGCCACAATATTCTGGTGCAAAAATAGAGGGAGATGTTGTTACTTTGGATTTTGTTAAGAAAATGATAGATGACTTCAAGAATCAAAAGTGTTTGCATAAAAGGTATGTTTAGCATGTGCAGTTATGGATTTTGTTCTTTCTATATTGCTAATATTTTTTCTTTGAATCTTGTTATTGGTACAGATATGCATTCCAGATTGTCTTACAAACAAGAGAAATGTTGCGGGCTCAGCTCTCTCTTGTTGATATTAATGTTCCTGATGGCAGTCATTTCACTGTCTGTGGCGATGTACATGGTCAGGTAATTTCACATCTTTATAATCCTTATGTTTAATCTGTAATTCTTAACAACTTGACATGATATGTCCTTAGCAGTCAACTGACAGAGGATAAAGTGGTATTACCTGTTAATAGAAAATAAATGCATGAACTTGAATGACATGGTGATTTGTAGTTTCTCTGTCCAGTAATATTGGTGCCTTGCATGGTGGCTTTGTTACTTTCTTGAGCTGCCTATCACTTACTGCTATGTTAATAAAGTTAACTGTGGAGAGTAATTATTATGCCTCATTTTAATGCTTATATTTTCTCTTTCTTTTCTCTGTCTAAAGTTAATGGTGTTTGTTTATTAATATGTTTATTTTTCCTTTTTGTAGTTCTACGATTTGATAAACATTTTCGAGCTTAATGGTCTCCCATCTGAAGAGAATCCATATCTCTTTAATGGTGACTTTGTGGATAGAGGATCTTTCTCTGTGGAGGTCATCCTCACACTGTTTGCATTTAAGTGCATGTGTCCATCAGGTGAACTTACTTGCGACATTCTCTGCCTTGCACTTCTCCCCAGGCCTTTGCATGTACTATCATAGTCCTTTGTTTTGTACTTTTCTCTCCCCCTTCACCCTTTTGGTTGACTTTTTCAATCTTGTTAATCTCAAATATTTTACATGTATCTTTTCTGATTTCCATTTTAAAAAGTACTTTTCCAATCTTATTTCCTTTTACCAAATTTTCACTGGATTATCAAGGAGCTTTTTCTGTGCACTTCTTTTAGATTTTTATTGCCTCATGCCTTTTGCATCTCTATCAAAACTGTCTTCACGATTGGACACTTTCTATATTAATCTTCTTGATTAGACACTCACTAAACTGATCATCACTCACTAAACTGATCATCTTGATTAGATGCTCTTTAAACTGATCTTCAGGATTTGACAGCACTGTTAGTATGATACATATGAAATCTTTTGTTTCAGTTTTGTTGCATCTAATTTACCTGCTTGGGAATTCTCAGCTATTTATCTTGCTAGGGGGAATCATGAGAGTAAGAGCATGAACAAGATATATGGTTTTGAGGGAGAGGTCAGGTCCAAGCTGAGTGAAACATTTGTGGAACTCTTTGCAGAAGTATTTTGTTGTTTGCCTTTGGCTCATGTAATAAATGAAAAGGTCTTTGTTGTTCATGGAGGCCTTTTTAGTGTTGATGGGGTGAAACTTTCGGACATCAGAGCAATAGATCGGTTTTGTGAGCCTCCTGAGGAAGGTAAACTCAACATGGTGTTTTTTCTTTAATTTTTCTTCAGTTTATGCTATGGTTGGTGCAATGTTTTATATTCAGCATGAATAATTTTTTCTCTTACTAAGTCTAGCAACTAAGCTGTCAGTGTGTATTTATTCATTGTTTTTCATTTGTATGAATGCTTCCCCTATATAATCCATACTATATTTATAAAATATATAAATATGGCTTAAGAGGTGTGAAACTTTTGTGAAGACAAAATACCCTTTCCACTTTTTATTTTATTTCTAATAAAATTTAACTATAGAGTACAGGTTTACTTAAAAAATTTTCATGTAGAGTTTTAGTCTAACTGACTCACTTAATTATTGACTAATTAGTATTAATTTATTTTATAGAATTGGACGGTTTTTCTGAATGTTAAAATACCTTCTTGCTTTTATTGTTTCTGATAAATTTTTATAATGAAGTTACAATTTACTTGAGTTATTTTGTGATCAACCTAAATCACTATCTTCTAATTTGTAATTTATCAATCTTAATTTATTATATAAAAATTCAATTATATGAGGAGATTTATACTTAAGTTGAAAATTTATAAGGTACATTCAAAATATAGAATTTTTTTTAAATTTTTTATTTGTTATAATACTAGATAGCTAATATAGTTCGTAAGGAAAATGGATGTAAAGCAAAAAACTAGTCATCTCTCAAATCTATGAAGAAAAACAAATTGAGGAGCGAAAAGTTAGACAACTACAATGTACAATATATATACAATGGGTTGGGAAGCTCCATGGGAGTGCCATGTGGCAGCACCGATGGAGCTTCCAAGCCTTTTTTCTTTTTTATACTTTTTTAACAGAAAACAAGCAAAGAAAAGAAGATAAGAATTCAAGAGAAAGTAAAGAAAAAAAGGTTAACATTTTTTTGGCACTCCCATGGAGCTTCCCAAGCCAATTGTTTTTTTCCTGTATATTATATATATATATACAAAAAAGAAGAAAAGGAAAGAAAAAAAAAGATAAAAATACAAGAAAAAGTTGACATTGTTTTTCATTTTCCTTTTTTTATTTTTCCTTTCATTTTTTCTAGATAAATATTTTTCATGAAATTACTAAAAAGAGAAATGGAGAATAATGAAATTAACCCTAAATTACAAAATGATAAGATAAAAATGTGTTGTTTCGTTTGTATGTCTCATGGTTCCCTGTCTGATTTCATCAGGGTTGATGTGCGAATTGCTTTGGAGTGATCCCCAACCTTTCCCAGGACGAGGTCCTAGCAAGAGGGGAGTGGGTCTTTCTTTTGGTGCAGATGTGACAAGAAAATTTTTGCAGGATAACAATCTAGGTATTTATCTGCAAGTTTGGGTGCTTTTTTTTTTCTTTTGCTGAAAAGGAGAATTGGTGTTTAATGTAGCTGATCTGACATACTTAATTGACAGATTTAGTTGTACGATCTCATGAAGTAAAAGATGAAGGTTATGAGATTGAGCATGATGGTAAACTTATTACTGTTTTCTCTGCACCAAATTATTGTGATCAGGTAATTGAGTCTTAAATTCTTTCATAAATGTGATCATCAATTAATGGCAAATTTGTCCTCACGGCTTTGTATAATCATGTGATTTGGATTTCTCTATACACAGAAAATAATATTTGTTGAACCTGTTTCAAATCAATATGTATATAAAACCTGCAAATGATGAATTTATATTCTGAACGAGTACATGTAAAAATTCTTTAAACGGTTATGCGTGGGTACTTATTGCGTGGAAACCATATATGCTTCACAGTAAAAGAGATTCAAGGCAATATTAACCTGTTGTATTGAATAGATTCTCTGAGCAGGAGTGACTTTTTGTCTTAACAAGCTGGCTTCAGTTTGTTATCTTGCAAACTTCATTTTATTGAAGCATTGTGCTGTTTTAGATTAACTCATCTGCTTATCCTTAGCTAAGTATTATCAGTTGTTAACTCTATTAAGTAGCAGCATCTTGTCATACTTTTGATCCCTCTTGACGTGAACTGTAGCTTATAACTGATATTGAAAAGCAATTGAGGTGGATGGTTGAAGTTTTAACATTCTTGATATTATTGAGGTAGTGACAGGTGCATGTGCATGCTCATGACTCTCTTCTTCTTAATCCATGTTATATAGTCGTTTTCAAGTACACTGTGTGTGTGTGTGTCCACCTGTACACAATGATCATTTTTAAGTACAATGCAATATTAAATATATCAATTGAACTTGTGGACAATGTCAGGCATAGTTTATGGAACATCAAGTTTCTTCTAGTATTTGGTGAAGTTACTTTTGAGAATAGTGTAATTTGTTCTTGATTCTTGCATGAGATTTGGCTTTTTCCAACTCCACAGCCTGCTTATCTGTTCTCTTTCCAACAACTCTTTATCTTTAGGGCTGCTTTTATTTGTCATTGTGTTGGAAGTTGAAATTGAATGATTTGGTTGGAATTTCTGTTTTAGGAGTTGAAGGTCCAAGTAATTTACATTTTGTTTTTAAACACAAGTGATCAAATTGTTTGAATCATGGTGTTGTTATTTTACATATAATATTGCTGATATTTCGATTGTTGCAGATGGGTAACAAGGGTGCTTTTATTCGCCTCGAAGCCCCTGACTTGAAGCCAAATATTGTTACATTCTCAGCAGTGGTCAGTAGTTTGTGTTGCATGTCTTGTCATTTTTTCTCTTTTGGTTATATGTTTGGTGTGAAAAAGGACCAGGAGCCCTTTTTATATGAAGAAGTTTGACTTACTTTCCCTGTGATTTGCAGCCTCACCCTGATGTCAAACCAATGGCGTATGCAAACAATTTCCTCCGAATGTTCCAATAATTTATACCTCTGACTAGGATGGCCCAGTCTTGTACCCTTTTTTGCTATACAATGCCTCTACTGCTCAATAGTAAGTTGTTCCAGGAGGCAGCTGGAGAAGTGGTAAATGTTGACAGATGCAGTTTAATTTATGGTTTCTCTTTTTCTTTTCCCTGAAAGATTGGTCTCTCTCTCTCCTTTGCTTTCCGTTTCATTGTAAGAATTTCAGGCTTCCAGTCTCATATTTTGAAAGTTTTCCTCATTTGAATCCAAAAGCCAGTTCCAAGGTTGGGAAAGAGGAAAAGGAAAAGAGAAGCTTGCTGGCAGGAGTCTGGCGGCATTGTAAAATCCAAAATGGATTGACCTCTTTTCTCTTTGTATTTATAAACTATAGATAGTGCTTTGTTTACACTTGGAATAAAAAATGGTTGCTATGGTTTTTGACTTCTTGTTCTTTGGTGGACTCATTGGCTCTTTACCTGATATTCTTCCCTTCTTACCAAGGTTTTACTCGTTGCCTCTTTATATTGTTGGTTTTTAACACAATGATACAGAAACCTGGAAGTCTTAGAATCCAACAGCTCCGACCGTCTTCATATCATGGTGCAAAAGATGGTCAAATGTTACAGATAAATGTGATGATGAACACCGCATAATTAATAAAAAAATAAAAAAAAATTCAATAAAGGAGTGAACGACCCTCATGTGTATTGAGTAATATAGGGCAAACTAGTATCACGAATAAATTAAAAAAAAGGGCTCAAACAGACAAGCTTTTTATGTCATAATCAGGTCAACATAATTAAGAAAAATGGCTCAAATAGTTTCAAGTGTTCAAGTCATAACTGGGTTAAAATGGTCATGCCACCACCATATTTGGGGTTATGTCAAAAAATTGACGACTCCAATTACTTGCCCTTTTTTTTAATAAAAAAAAATTGCCTTCATAAAAAATTAAAAATTACTTCCCTCTTAATATATTTGTCTTTTATTAACTTTTTTGATAAAATAAGTTTATTTTTGATTATTATTTTTAAAAAATATTATTATATAAAATTAAATTTTTAAAAAGTATGTTTTGAAAAGTGTGAGAGATAATAAAAAAGAAGAAGGAAGTTTTATCCTTGTAAGAGATGATCGCACTATTCTAATCTATACAAATGATAAGAGATAAAGATTCAATATTTTTATCTCAATATCTTTATTACTTATAATAATTATCTTTTACAATTAAAAAAGTTTATTTCTTCCACAAAAAAAAGTTTATATTATATAAAATATAGTGACTTGTGAAAATATTCTAGTCTTCCCAAAAATTGTTAGTGTTTTTCGATATACATAAAGAAAGTAAGGAATTTAAACTCCCTGGTAGGCTCACTTGGACACTGCCCAAGCTCTCCAGAGTGAAGATCGAATGATATCTTTCCAGGTTATCTACTTTCCATTTTTATACCCTTTAATCTCTCCTGTCTTCTCTTCTGTTTTCCTTCTCAAACTTTCCATTTGGTTCTAAACACAAAGCCATGAAAGGGTCCTCTGTTTTGCTCATGCTTTTGGTTTTTTGCTTGTATAGATTATTTTTGATTATTCAGTCTGTATCGAGTTCAATTTGCACATGGAAGTAATTGTTTGTTTGTTTGTTTGTTTACTTTCAAGTTATGGAACGTTCTAACTCCAAAAAATTTTGGACTTTATTTTTTTTTTTTTGCGTTGCAACCAGGCAGAGGACTAACTGAAACCCGTAGGGCTAATTTTTGTTGTTGTCTCTTTCATTTCCCATTTTTTCAATTGTTCGTATTTTATCAAATCATGCCAATGGAGGATTAGCTGGGACTTTGTTTTGAAAAGCCTTACAAGTCTTTCTGTTTGTAATGCTCACTTTATACATGGATTATGAATATATTAATATGTGTGTGGTGCACGTGTATTTGATTTACTTGATGGTATTTTGCTCTGTTGGTATGCTTCTTATGTGTTAAGCAATGAAAATTAATCCAGGTTTGGTGCAGGTTGTGTATTATTACCATTTATCTGTATGGCACTGAAATTGACAAGGAAAATATTGGTGAATCCGTGCTTTATTAGTTGCAATTCATTCCAATTCCTTGTGGGGTTGAGCTCAAATCATGACACAAGGGTTTTCCTTAGCAAAGGTTCTGGAGGGTATCGAGGATCTGATGTACTTTGCAAGCCTCGATTTTTTTGTCCCGTTACGTGTCTGGCAAGGTTAAGTTGGGAAGGTTCAACACATGCAGTTTTGTTGACAAAGATTGAAAATTCTTTGAAGGAACTCAAACTGGATGAAGCGTGGGAAACTTTCAATGATTTTAAAAGGTTGTATGGTTTTCCCGACCTTTTGCTTGTTAGTAGGTTCATCACTCAACTGTCCTACTCGTCCAGCCCTCACTGGCTACAAAAAGCTTGTGATTTGGTTATGATAGTTTTGAAAGAGAAATCATATCATCTTCAGCCTGACATCTTGGCTAAGCTAACTCTTTCTTTAGCAAGAGCCCAGATGCCCATTCCATCATCAACGATCCTTAGATTGATGCTGGAAAAGGAGATACTACCCCCAACAAATGTATTGTCGTTGGTGTTTCTGCATATGGTGAAGACAGAGGTTGGGACATGTGTAGCATCCAATCTTTTGGTCCAGATTTGTGATTATTACATAAGATTTTGTTCAGAGAAAAGCCATTACGCAAACTTTCTGAAACCTGATACAATGATCTTTAATCTTGTGCTTGATGCGTGTGTTAGATTTGCTTCATCTCTCAAAGGTCAACAAATTATAGAATTGATGTCAAAAACCGGGGTTGTTGCTGATGCCCACTCAATCAATATTATTGCTCAAATCCATGAAATGAATGGGCATAGTGATGAGTTGAAGAAATTTAAAGATCTTATTGCTCCTTTACCAGTGCCTTTTGTTTCTCATTATTGGCAGTTTTATGAGTGTTTATTAAGCTTGCATTTTAAGTTTGATGACATTGATGCTGCTGCTGAGCTTGTGCTGGAAATGAATAGATCTCGAGAGTCTCATGCTATTGGAGAACTTAGGAAGGATTACCACAAGCCTTGTTTTGTTCCGATTGGATCTCAGAATCTCAGGAATGGACTGAAGATACAAATTGTGCCTGAGCTGTTGCAAAAGGATTCTGCCCTCATAGCAGAAGGTAAATCAGATCTTATTATGTATAGGGATAAAAAACTTCTTCCTAGTAATAGGGCTCTTGCCAAGCTCATCAATGGATACAAGAAGCATGGAAAGATCAATGAACTGTCAAAGTTTTTACTTAGCTTAAAAAGAGAGTTATGTTCATCAGGTGGATCAAGTTTGTTTTCTGATGTGATTGATGCATGCATTACGCTAGGCTGGCTGGATATTGCTCATGACATTTTGGAAGACATGGAATCTTTTGGGGATCCTTTGGGCTCTAGTACATATATGGCGCTTCTGAAGGCTTATCATAAACGAAATATGTCTAGGGAGGGAAATGTACTGCTAAAACAAATGAGGAAGGTTGGTTTGGTGTTAAATTTGTCTGACGAGATAGTTAACTCCGAAAATGTGCCAGAAAATGTAGGTAAAAGTTCTCTTTGCTTAAACGAATCATCTTCTATTTGTCAACCAAGTCTGATGGAGTCTCTTGTTCAAGAAATAAGTGAGGCAGAGAAGGCAATATCTCCTATACTTTATGAATTGAACTCTTCTATTTACTTCTTTTATAAGGCTAAAATGATGGGGGATGCACTGAAGATATACCGAAGAATGCAACAGATGAAAATCCAACCCACTGTACATACTTTTGCTTATTTGGTATGTGGGTATTCTTCTCTAAAAATGTATCGTGATATTACCATTCTGTGGGGTGACATTAAGAAGGCCATGGAGAGTCGGAATTTATCCATGAGCAGTGATTTGTATGAGTTTTTGCTATTGAACTTTCTTCAAGGTGGATACTTTGAAAGAGTGATGGAGGTAATTGGTTATATGAAAAAGGGCAGCATGTATATTGACAAATGGATGTATAAGACTGAATACCTAAAGATCCATAAGAATCTTTATAGGAGCTTAAAAGCATCGGAAGCTAGAACTGAGGCTCAAGGTAAGAGGCTTGAGCATGTTAAGGCATTTAAGAAATGGGCTGGCATTGACTGAAGGTTTTCAAGCGTGTTGGGTGTTTGAGTGAATGGATTATGGTGGTTTAACCTTTTAGCATCAAGATTTCATTTTTGACTTTCTACAAAGTAAGAGATGAAGACGGATACTTGAGAACTAAAAGCACACAAAATGAGAAATTAAGCTATCCTGGTGATGAAACCTTTATAACTTTCTAAGCCTGATGAAGAAGTTCTGCATCATTCATTGATCTTTCCTGTTGGATCTATGCTGGAATCCGCTAAGTCCTGCTGCACTCTCTGTTCTGATAGCTACCATGTTGTTCAAGATGATGGATTTACCTTAAAACTTGTGTCTCATTGGCAACCAAAGTTGCTGTCTTTCCTCTCTCGAGCCAGATTTGGTGTAGTCTGTTTTCCCAGGAGGTAAAGACTAAGGGCTTTTGTTTACTTCTTTTTAGGATTCATGCCTCTTTCTACTAAATTATGTGAATAAAAATAACTTTATTGTTTGTTTTCTTTATAATTAACAAAGGTGTTGTTAAATTTTGTTGCTCTCTATGAGATTTGTTTGATTTTTAGATTTTATGTCCATTTTTATGTATTGGTTTACTTTGCCAGTTAAACTTCCATTCAAAATCTCTTAATTATGAGACATCAAAGAGTAGAACTTTTTAAACTTCTCAAGATAGATATGCCTTATGCTTTGACAATAGATATAACATTGTACCTTCCATCATTTTTTTGGGTCTTGATTTGAATTCCCTTGAAACGTTAAGTGTTGTTACCTATGTTGGTTAAATTTAAGTTTTGTTATGGCTTTATATTCGTGCTGGATCTCCTATTGCCAATTGGTGTGGATACAAACATGGTATTGGAGACCAAGTCTGTTTCTCCGTTTGTTATTTGTTACTATTGTTTCTGGCCAATCTTTACTTTTTATTTGTTGGTTTTATCTTTATACTTTTTACCCCACTGCCGACTTGTTTTAGTTGTTAGTATTCTGTGACGTAAAAGGTTGATGAGTGATGTTATCCTACATTGGTTAAATTGTTGGGTTTGTTGTGGCTTAAGTTTCTTCACTCATTGCCAATTTCCAATTGGTATTGGATTGGATGCTTAACTGAAACATTAATAAATTATCCATTGAAGCTAGTAAGATGAAGAGAGGACAAGTGCTTTGTTTTGTTTTTGTGTTTGTCCTTTTGTTTTGTTTGTTTTCCCTTTTTGAATTAATTTTGTGTATGTGTGTGTGTTTGTGTATAGAAATTCCATTAATTGTTTAAATTATAAAGTAATACCAGCTTTTAGCTTTGATGTAAGCATCAAAACTTAGTTGAATTTTGCCTTACAAAAAATGAAAAAAAACTTAGTTGAATTTTAATTGGGTTAAACTAATTAACTCCTTTAAGCATTTGAAGTTATTAGTTGTCAACAATCCTGTTTAATCTCAGTATTAAAAGTGGAGGACAATTATTCAGGTTGACAAAATCTATCGGAGGAAAGACTAGCAGTATTAAATTTCTATTTGCAAGGAAAACTTTGTAGATCTCCTTTAGAAGCTATGACTATGAGACCTCGTCTCTGGTGGATCAACTTTTACCTGGTCTAGTCTTGTTTTGGAATGTTGATTATAGTATTTTGGTTCATGGTTGTAATCCAAGTTGTTGAAGTTTGATAGGCATGACCGACATTTTTTAGTAAAGTGTTCTGCAAGATGTGGTCACTGGTCATACAGGCACTTATTGGTAGAGAATTCTTTTGCCCCTTGGTTTAATGCAAGTTTTGAAATTCAGAACACACAACAGGTTTTTATATTACAGTTTGCTACAAAGTGTGATCGTACTGCTTTCAGTTAGAAAATTTTTTCTGATCATGTTTGCTTGGTTATTGCAAGTTTAGAACCTCATCCATTGTCTATGGTGTAAAAGTGAATTTCTTTTTCTTGCATTTACAGTCATAAATATTGCTATTCTTCTTCATTTTAATACTGTAAAGAGTCTATATTTTTAACTAAGTTCTAGTATTTATTAAGGGATTATATTGTTTAGTTTATTGGGTTAGCTTCATTCCCCTCCCCTGCCCCCACCCACTACTCTTTTATTCATCCCTATTACATAAGGTGAAAGGGAGTAGGAAGTTTGTGCTTTTACTTTTTAGCTGGTTTACTTGTTTGTTGGTGTGTTCCTGAGCAGTTATGTTGAGGGTTACCTTATTTCTTATGGAATAAGGGGATGTTTGATTGTGTTTTCATCTTGTATGTCTTCTTCTTTCTCGTTTTTCATTTTTGTGAAAAGAGAAAGAAGGGAGTGGGAGGGAGGTGGGGTTCTTTTTGTGCTACATTCTCCTTTATCTGTTAAAGTATTATGAAAAGAAGTGTGTTTGCTTTCCCTTCTTCATCCCATTGCCACCATGACTAATATTACAGAAAAAGGTGAAACTCTGAATGGTTTAGCATCAATTATCATGTTTATCTGATTATTGATTTTTCACTAAATATAAACTAGATGTATCATGGTTTTTTTTATCATGTTTATCCTTTCTGTGTGGAAGTATTTGTTTTGTTCACTCTGCCGTGAAACAATTACAGCATCAAGCCCTTTGAATTTTTTCCCCTTTTGAACCAACCAGAATATCAGTAGACATGTTAAAGCAGTGGGGTTTTTTTGGCTCTCAAATGTCTTATTTTTTGTTTATATTAAATGAAATCATAGCAATAATGATATTCTTGATTTTCATGTGATGGGTTGAACTTGCTTTTGTACTCCATCTATATAATATATGCATGTATATTTCTGATTTAGGAAAGTGTATTTAGGTTATTGTCATTTTGTAGGCCTTTCGTGTGCTTCCTAATTCTTATGGATGTAAATTGCTAGCTACCTATGAACTTTTCTTTTCACAGAGATAAACGATGGTTGTTTGCTAATTCATTTTTTTGTTATAGTTCTCATGACCTGTACAGAGTCTTCTAAACAGAAGATGTTTTTATGGTTATGAATCTATTATTACTGACATTCTGGTGGACTCCTTTTAGAAGATAAAGGCTGTGTGTAGCATGGAAAATACAAATTCTAGCATTTTACGAGCTGAAGAAATCAAAACCGTAGTCTTTTCTAAAGAAGCATTTAGTTGTCTAAGCTATTTTCCCTAGCAAAAGGAAAAGGACTCTTTAACTTCCCTGGGTCCTGTTATCATCTAGAGTGTTGTAAATTGTTGCCTCTATATTCAAAGAAAATAATTAGGGCATTGACTTGATCACATAATCATCATTTTTGTCGTCTATTATGTTTAAAGTGGTGCAACATCCTTTTTGAATTGTGGGTAAAATTAGATGCGGTATAATTAATAGTTAGTTGTCAATAAAAGGAGCTGCTGTGCTTAATTATTACATTCAATTTTTTGTTTCTGCACTATTTATTGGAGACAGCTTACCGAATGTGAATGTGCAACGCTATTTTCATCATCTTCAATCATGTATATTCAATTTTCCTTCCTTCCTTTATCTGGCCTTAAAATATTGACTTGCTTAATTATTCAAGCAATCTAACTAGATAGTCAGTATGCTGAATACCACACAAACCATGCATTTGCCAGTGCTAAGCTAGTGGAGACTTGTAGTGCCTCACCTAATGTTGGGTCTTGAATTTTCAAATAAATGAAACTCTTGTGCCTTGTGAATTTTCTGATATTGGTTTTTTTTAAATGGTTCTGTAAATTCTAGGCAACTACAGATGAAGTGCTGATTATCTGCCATTGGGAAATTTAAAGTGGCATTACCAGAATTTCAATAGGTATTTATCTGCCAGGGCTGTGAGTAGATGAATATGATTGATTCTTAATGTAAATTCATCAATTTAATTTTTTTTTTTTGGCAAGAGGGTTGTCATTATTTTGAAATATCATTTTGCTTTATTTGTTTTTCTATTTATATGTCTGGATATAGTTTTTTTCTCTTAAAGAAATTTGTTTCATTTTATTGTGAAGTTTCTAGGATCTTTCACTTTCCTGGGAAGAAGTTATAGAAGGTTTTTGCTCCGTTGAGAGTAAGCTCAATGACTCATGGCTTTGTCATGTCTTGGATATCAAATGAGAGAAGTACATGCTTGCTTGCTGTGTTCAGTTTGACATTCTTCTTCTTATGAGTTATTCACATAGAATATTTCCGGCTATAGACAATTGATTTTCTTATCTAAGTGTGATTAACCTTCTTCTAGGTTAAAATTTCCAACCTTCCGTACGACAAGCCTACTTGTACAACAATCCAATTCTAAGATTTTGCCTGTGCTTTGATTTGTATGCTGAAGCCCCTTCCTTTGATAACAAAAGATGGAAAAAGAAAAGGCGAAAAAATGGCAGAAAGATGTAAATAGAGTAGGTTCCGGTTCCTGGGTCTCTTCAAAATAGCAACAAGAAGTTTTAAGGTCTGAAAGGGTAGCCAGAAATATTTAACTTTTATTATGTTCCAACTTCAATGAAATTTTAGTTCCAACGAATGCTTTGCTCAAGCTATCCATTTCTTTGTGATTAAGTTTTCTAGATTGATTTATGAGATAGATTCCCTGCATCAATATGTCGAGTTCTTACCTCATGTTTTAAAGGTGAAAAATTGATGGTTTTCAAGATTGAATATGCTTACCAAACTTACACATGTTTTAGTTTTTTGTTCAAAAACCTATTCATGTTACTCTGCACCAAATTAATGTGATCTGGTAAGTAATCCATATGTTCCACCATAAATGTGATCATTAGTTAATGGCAAAGCTACCTCTGGGTATCGAATATTATGCCATTCGGAAATTGATATAAACATAGAAGACAAAATTGCTGGAAGTGGCTAATGACAAAAATCTCTGCCTTTCATACATTGGATTTTGTTTCTCAATTGTAATTTTTCTGAAATGTTGGGGGTATCACATTGGAGAAACATCTTGACATCCAATAACGGGACATCCACTTTATAGAAGAATCTTTGCTGCACAAGAAGCTAGAGATTACAAGGCTCTTTCAATATTTTGTGTAGCAGTAAATCTAGTGGGGTAGCAGGTAGGCTGTTAAAGATCTTATTTAACCATTCAAGATAACTTTCTCAGCACCAAAATCTAAAGGTATTTCAACAACCTGGCTTTTTCTGGTTATGTTCAAACCTTCGTTTAATGCATATGCTTAGGTGACAAATTAAATGGGTTAGTAGCTGTACTAAGTTGCAGCATCTTGCCATAATTTATTTTGTCTCTATGAACTAAATGGTTTTGGGTAATCCAAAAGGTGACATAACTATTAAAAAGCAAAATGTGTTTTATCTCATTAAAAACCATTGTGGTTATAGTTGTTTATCTCCATTGTCCAATATCTTCTTTCTAATCTAATACTATATTTTTATGTAGAATAGGATATAAATTAATCCACTGAAGCTGCAGAATGTATTGGTTTTGGAACATGAAATTTAAGACATCTTTGTGTGATAGTTTGAGAGATTATTCATTCTTGAGATGGTATATTCGATAATTTTATTGAGAATGTTATGCTCATTCATCAATTTTCTGGCCTCTAAACCCTCAACCACTCTTCTTGTCCAACATACTTTCAGGAAACTGAAAGATTGTTTAGTGTTCTATTTAACTTGAACATCCTGATACTATTCATTTATTTAAGATTGTATGATTGATTGATTGCTATCACTGTGTCTCAATTTAATGTACACAGTGTGTTTGGACTTGGTGTTATAATCTGCATCTCATGCATGTTTGTTGCGGATGGGTAACAAATATCCTTTTATTCATTTCAAAGCTTCTGATTTGAAGCAAAGTGTGCTTTTGTGTCTCTCATCTTGCCAGTTTCACTTGTTTCAGTTTTTGTGTAGAAACAGTGGATTAGAAGCCCCTTTCCCGTCATGGTATATATGTTTGATTTGTCTCATTGTCTTTATGAACTGCAGCCTTGCCCTGATGTCAAGACAATGGCACATATGAACAACTTTCTCTGATTGTTCCAATTATTTCTACATCTGACTCAGATGGCCAGCTCTATTCCTAAATACAAGTTGTTCCAGAAGGCAGCTAGAGCTAAAGCTTTATGTTATGTTTTTGTTTTTTCTGTAAAAAAAATCCTGAGAAGTACGACTCTTCATACTTCTTATTGCTGGCAAGAATCCTTGGCTCTCATTTGGGAAGTCTTTATGTGCCAGTTGTGGGTGACAAAACTCTTAGATTGTCAAACTTAATTCCTGTTAATGTACTTGTTGAGAAATGCTATTGCTTTACAAAACCAATTTGCTCTTGTGAAAATTTCTTGATTGAGTGACCAATGGAAAATTCAACATGGAGAAAATTGCAGAGTATTTGCATATTTTTTTACTGTTTTCATAGTGGACCGTTGTTTCTTGCTTTGAAACATTGTTTGATTCTGAACTTTATTTTCTCCCAGCCTTCCAACAGAAATGCAACATGTGACACGCAGAATATGAGGATTGCAAAGCCAAACTCAACTCCCTGTGCCTCTAGGATGTTGTAAATGCCTTGCTATTGCTTGGTTCCCTCAGCAAGGCGTCGAGTCTTCAAATTTCAGTATTTGACCATTTGAATTAGCAAAGCTGAGTGAAATTTAGTCAAAGAAATGGCACAAACCTAGAATTGTAAAGGTCTAGCTAGTACCTAATTGTTTCTCTTTTAAGGAAAGAGAGATGTTTGAGCATTTTTTTTAAGAAAAAGGGTAGTGAATTATGCTAAGGATTCACTATAATTACAAAATCCGCATCTATTATAAGCTTCTATACAGGACATGCATGGTGCGAGTGGTGAAAATGTTGCTTAAATACTATAGTATGATGTACAGTATTTAAATAGGAAAAATGATGAATGACACCATATTTTTACATAGCTGGTTTTAACAAAATGAACTAAAAGGGCATGGACATGGAGGCACGGAAACTTGAACAACTCCTTCAAGCATCTGTGTGACCATTTTCATTGAAGGTCTTAGAGATGGATCCTCTTGTATGCACCAAATTGCCACCATAACCAACCTTTCCAACCTTTTCATGTCAATCTTTGCCTCCTCATCGTTTTCCACTAGCATTTCTAATCTTCGGTATCTGTAACAGTCATAGACCCAGTCAACGAGTATCACTTCCTCCTCATTCTCTCTTTCCGTTTCTAAGCTCTTTCTACAGAAAACAATCTCCAGTAACATGACCCCAAAACTATACACATCCACCTTTGCTGTAATTGGCATATTCCTGAACCACTCCGGTGCTACATAGCCTCTAGTCCCTCTGATGGCTGTAAGGGTTCGAGTTTGTCCATTCATAATAAGTTTCGCCAGCCCGAAGTCTGAGATTCTTGCAGTGAAGGAGTCATCCAGAAGTATGTTTTGGGGCTTAATATCACAATGAATGATCTGTGTGCCACATTCATCATGCAAGTAAGCAAGCCCTCTGGCGATTCCAAACGCTATCTGGACGCGTCTGTTCCAGTCGGGTCTTGAAATTCCAAAGAGGAAACTAGCTAAAGTTCCATTGCTCATGAACTCGTAAACCAAAAGCTTTTGTTGGCCTTCGTCACAGAAGCCAAGCAACCTCACCAAGTTCTTGTGATGGGTCATGGCTATTGCTCTTGCTTCTGCTACAAATTCTTTCTCTCCATCTTGTAACAGATTGTCTAATTTCTTGACAGCGATTAAAGTGGTTGAACTTGGTGATGATAAGATCCCCTTGTATACAGTTCCGAAGGCACCTCTTCCTAGTTCATCCCGGAACCCCTCTGTGGCTTTTTTGAGGTTTTCAAAAGTGAAAGAACGCAAGTTTGTTTCCAAAATGCTTGACACTTCGGTGAGTGTCTGTCTTTTGTGGTACGAGCAAAAGAAGGCTATTGAGCTAGCCGCCATGAATAGCAAGTTGAGAAACACTGAGCCCCCCAATAGAATTGATATAACTAGGACTGCAGTTGCTTGATCTTCCTTCATATTGATGTTTTCCGAAGAAGGAAGTTCTCTTGAAGTATGATTAGCTTTTGGTATTTTGACAAAAACCTTTCCATAGGTACTAATATCCACCTTCCCACTTGAGAGAGGCAATTTCTTCTTCCAGCACCTCCCACTATAAGTGATAGCAACTACACAATTGCAATCAGAAATACACGCATCACGACAATTTACTTCATTTGATGGTTGAAGCTCTTCATAGTTTGCTGAAGTGCGCCAAACTAAATTTGACAGCACTGTTATTTCATATAATTCCTCTGGGTTTGGAGCAGTCGGATCACATCTTTGTACATTGTCTTGCTTACAGCCACTTAATTTGTCATCCTGATCTAATAAGGAGAATCCAGGAAGGCACTGGCAGTTGGGTCTTCCATTGGATTGAAGTGTGCAGTAGCTGTTAAGCCCACAAACACCACCACCAAGGTCGCCTTTGATGTCAGAGCAAATGTCTTTGGGCTCAAACCAAACAGGGGTCCAGGATTGAACCCAGATGTTTCCTTCTGTTGGGGACTTAGGGTGGGCATATTGTGTGAAAACCCCATCAACATCAAGTGTTGCCCTGTAATAGAAATCTTGCGGCAAGGAAATCGATCCTGATGTGAGGTTTTTAATGTTTCCATTCCTCCGAACTATATAAAGGTAACCCGATTCATTAAAAACCAACTGAAAACCAGAATTCGTGTCATTAGCAGGATCATATGTGTCACTGATATAATAAGCATCATAGGCTTTCTCTGTTGGCAGGGCAATGGGATTGAGCACAAGCTTGCCTTCTGGAAGCAAGCGGAGCTGGAACCTCCCCTTTTCATAGCTGTTCTCCGTTAGCCGGGAAGATAGCAGTCCACCACGTTCCATTATTTGAGTTGGCAGAATGGTGTCCGTTGGATTCCTGAAACTTTCCCAAATATGGTTAGATTCGTTATCTGCAATGATGAAATTCCCTGAGTTGAGCATAGCAGCATATGCAGCCTTATATACAGCAGAATAAGGTTTCCAGATCTCTTCACCGTGCGGAGTAGTAAGAGTGAATTGACCATCAACGCCAAGCTCAAGCTTTGATCCTTCTGGAGCTGGTTTACCCTCATTTGCATACCATACTATAGTTTTATCTGGTATGGTATCAAACCATATGGCAAGCAGAAAGAGATTTTGATCACCAACGGGACGAAATCCAAACGCAAATTCCTTAGAAGGTGAGTGCCATGGTGAAGAGTCGTCAGAGGCAACAAGAAGTGATCCTGAACTAATATTTGCAGTTTGAGCAGCCACCAAAACTGGTAGAGCAAAGAAAAGCAGGAGACTGAAATTGCGAAGAGTGGGACAAGGTATTTCCATGATATGGAATGGGATTATCATGCAACACAAAGTGTGTGTTCTAGATTAATCAGAATCATGTTAAAGCAGTTTATAAAGAGTATTTTCCTTGACAAAGTCATTGCATGGCATTGAAACTTGAAAGTGATTGAGCAAAGTGGTCATTGGTTTAGTTATCATGTTCTTTCGGACCAGCAATCTTAAATCCTTGGGAAGTATGAGCAACTCTTGTCGGTTAAGCTATCATGTTCAAACAACTGACCTTCTCTCTTGTCTTTTTTTTTTTTTTTCCCATTCAACCGCATTTAAATGAAAATTTCTGACTTTTTAATTTTGAATACTTTTAAAATCTTTTCAGTAACTGTGAACTAATTTACCATTAGCTAAGAGATTATAGACATACATGAAGCTTGACCATAACTTAGTTGGAGATTGCAATCTAAATTTGCTTTCCTTTTCTCAGAAAGCCATTTGGCTTAATGGAATTCTTAACTTCCTGCGGTCAAATCGCTCCATCTTAAGGCCACCGCGTTGGATAAGTCCAACACTTCACTTGACCATTCACATCAAATGTAACACTGTGAGGTCATACAGCATACAGCATTAAAAAAACCACGGCATTGAGAGAGTAAAGTAAGCTGCATGGATCAATTTCTTTTGGATTTTCATGAACACGTGCCAAATTCAGGTGGATTTAATTTAAACTTTGAAAATCATTTAAATCTAAAATAGTCCGAACCTAAAATAACATGATATGAAAAGATTCAAACTCGAAATGACTTAAATTTCAATTATGTAAAAAATTAATTTTAAATTATTTGTATTCGAATGAATTATCTAAATTCAATTCAATTTGATTTTAAAAATTAATAACTTGAATCCATAATGATCCAAATCCAAACAACCAAAACCTGAATCCCTCCAATATCAATCTTAATAACCTGAATACAAAATAATTTGACACAATTAAATCTCAAATCTAATTCGTCCAATTGTCACTTCTAGTTGCTTTTCAAAAATATTCTTTACATAACATAACAAAAAAGTTAAAGTAAGCAAATGTTGCTTACTAATTATAAACTTACAATCAGCGATAGAGCTAGCTAACTTTTATTAAGGGATTAAAAATGAAAAAAAATAAAATTAAAAATTTTTAAAATTAATACGTTGAATTTAATTAATAATAAAAAAATTATAATAAATAATAATTTTATATAACATGTAAATCAAAAAAAATAAGAAACAAAAAATTTACAATAATCATTTAAGAATGAAGTGCGTTTTATTGGTAAGTTACAGAAAAGAAAGTAAAATAAAAATTAAAAAACAAAAAAGAAAAGAAACAAAAACAAGAGAAAGAGATATGGAGAAACTTATGAATTAAGATAAAGTTGGGTATGATTTGGATCATTGTATTATTTTTTATTTGTATTAATTATTAAATAAAAGATTATTTTGAGAGATATTACAATATATATATAATAATAAATAAATAATTTTAAAAATTTTGAAAAGGCCACAGTCCCTATAAATATGCTATCTTTCATTTTTGATTAAAAAATATGTATAATAAATAAAAATTTTGAGAGGCGACAGCTCCCATCAATTAACTACCCTCCTCCCCTGCTTGCAAAAAGCCAACACATTCCTTTTATATACAAAAATTTCAAAATTAAGATCAAGAAATTTTAACTTTCACAAGAATTAGAGGCATAGTTTTATTTCCATTTATAATTAGTATATTTAAATCTGCTAATTATATGTTGATTATTTATTATTTTAATTTAGATGAAATTCTGTAACTTGTGTCATCCATTTGTCTGCATCATAAAAAGATCTGATATTCCTAAAATAAAGAAGTTTTCTTCTATAAATACCTAAAATGATGCATACGTAAAATTTGGAGAGGCTTATGAATATTGGCACATACATTATCAATTCAATAGTGCCAGACACACCTTTATAAATTTTATGGTTTAGAAGATCAGGATTTTATTTCTAAAAGGGAATTGGAGAATACTCATTTTTTTAATGTTTTATACATATATAAGTAAAACATAATATTTATTTACATATTTTAATGTTTTATTTGAGTTTTTATGTTGAATTCGAACTTAAGTTCGAGTCAAGTTTTCTAGATTTTTATGTAAATTAATGATAATGCATGGAAATTAATTGAGTTAATTTTGAGTAGTTTTATTTCTTTTTGAGTGAAACTAGAGCTTAACAAGTAAAACTCGATTGAACTCGAGCCTCGAGTTCTTTAATCGAGCCAAGCTCGAGCATGACATTGGACAGTGGCAGATCTAGAAATTTTTTTAAATGATGTCATAATTAAAATATTTGTATTTAAATTATAAAAGAAATTTTTTTATTTTTTATATACTATTTAAATATTAGTATATAAATTATTTTTTGATAAATTTACTTTGATTTGAAGTCGTTGATCCCATTCCCTGTAAAATTGTAAAAAAAAATAATGAATTTATTAGCATAATTAACTATATAAAACTCTAATAGAAGCATTATAACAAATAAAAATTTTTGACACTTTCAGTAAATAGGTGGTCTCATGTGACATCACTTGTTTTAATGTAAATCCACCCTAATATTGGCTCAGCTAAGCTTGATTACGCCCTTATCCACTTCTATGGAAAACTTCAATTTGAAATTTTATTATTTTTTTCAAGAATGAAGTACTACCAAAGTATAAACTCATTAGAAAGAGTGAGAGAATGTGTTTAATGATTATGAATATCAATTTGTGTATTGATTTTAAACGCAGCAGCTACGATTTAATAAATTCATTAATTGTTAGGCTTAGAACGTGATTAATTAGCCAAGACTCTAGGTGTTCATTTAGTTCCCTATCATTGACAGGCTTCTGTCAATTTTTGTTTTATTAATCCCAAGAATTAAACCAAAAAAGGCATAATTAACGTCAGCTGTGTTTCTTTTTTTGGGGGAAGCACTGCCAAATTTGATTCCTCACGTCTCCTTCACAATGGCTGGCACAGATACTAGAATAACATGTAACAATCTGAGAGATATGTGACAAAAGGGACCCATGGATCTCATTTCTAAAGGGACTGCTCCAGGATCTGGCCCAATTCTTCAAATTTTGAGAGACCCTACTGATAAATTTGTCTGCTTGGGTTTTTTGTTTTTGGTAAAAGCCTGCTTGGGGTAATTTTAAGATTTAATTTTGGCATAGTAATTCTTTTTTACCCTTAGTCCCTTCCATAGTAAAACGTGCAGGAATTTTGGTGCTTACATGGGAATTCAAACTCAGACAGAAGTTGAGAGGAGTATCTCTCAAGGATGGTAGACCCATCAAACAAAAGTACATGAATATCCCAATAAATTTGCTATAGATCAGCTTGTTTGATTTTCATCTGCCATGGCTTTCCAGTTGAATGTACAAGTTACCTTAGGTTGCTTTGAAAGCCCTAATTAATGGTTGAATTGACTGAATGACTTTTTATTTATACAAATTAAAACTTTAGGAATGATTAATGCAAATTTGCTCCAAATATTTACTTATATTGAGTTCATTAGTGCTACAGAGATTTTAATAACATCATCTTATACACTTGTAGAGGTATTAAGTAACTGATAAAGATTATCTGGCAGCTAACCAAAGAAAAAGAAATAGTAGCCGATTTCCAGTAAATGGTATGAGGAGGAGCCTTAAAAGCAAATTCGTATTTGCTTCACCAATGTTGTTAAGTGGATTATACTAGCGCAAGCAAATACATCAGGCCCCAAAGTTTGGCCCATCTTTATCTGAGCTGTTTCATTTAAATTTTGATTTTCCACAGCCACAGGCTTGCCTTGGCTCATGAGTTATTGCATGGTTTTAAAGGGTTTTTGGTGAAGACAATAAAATTGTCCTGAATTTGAGGTAGAAACAGACAAAGAAGTAAAATTATTTGTCGCCCTGGCTCCCTGATTTACATAAATTAAATGCATCTCCTTTAAGAATTCAAGTTAGAGAATGGTCGTTGGGAATTAACCTCCTTGGTTAAGAATTTAAGATACCATCAAAGCAGATGATGAATAACACTTATATTCAAGATCCCGTCGTGGTAAAGATGGAGGATGTTATACGTTGAAGCAATATCAACCCTGCATCTTAATCTTACTAGGTTTTATAGTTTGTTCATCGGGGAGGGTTATGTCTTTAGATTTGTTCACGGTTAATTATTCATCTGTGTCTGATAAAAGGAAACATCGGCCCTCGTAACGTCCCAACATTTTTTAGATAAAAATGGAAAGGAATGCTTCTCTCTCTCAACTCAGGCAGAAATCAACTTATCTTGAATGTTTAGTGACCCTACCTTGGCTTCAATATGTCACTCAGATGTCATGAAGCTGAAGCATCACCTATTTAAAATCACCGCTACCCTACACATCACTTCAATCACTTCTTCCCAACTGCCTTTTTTTGTCTCCCCTCTCTCATGGTCGAGTCACCCAAGGCATCAGAAATTCACTAGTTCAGTTCACTTCAAACAATTTGCACCTAAATTGAGTCAAAAAAGTAGTAACATTACCACCTAAATAGCTAGCTGCTACAACCTGATCGGACATCCTCTACAGCCTCACCGCAATGAGGTGTACTTTCCCTCTCTGTCTCCCTCTGCTCTTCCATGTTCTTCTCCTTTCTCTCTTCTCTATTCCTTTTGTGTCCACCGTTTCCATCCATGCAAAGAAACAATCACAGCTACCAAACGCGGATCTCCAGCCCACCACCATGGCTCCCTCTGAGACTGAGGTCCTTTTCAAGATTATGGAATCCATGTCCTCTGATCAAACCTGGAGAGTCTCCTATCCAAACCCTTGTAAACCTGGCTCATCTTGGCCTGGAATCGAGTGCAAACCAGGCTCATATAACTTCCTCCATGTCTCTAGGCTTGATTTTGGCTCCTCCCCAAACCCAACTTGCAAGAGAACTGCCACATTTCCTAGTCAAATCTTTACTCTTCCCTACCTACAATCAGTGTTCTTCTTCAATTGTT